AAATCAATTAAAGTGAAATCAGCATTATTATTTTATTATTTTTATTTTGTGTGTGTGTGTTTTTCCTGCAGTTTTTAAAGGGTGACTTTGCTATTCCACAAAAAGCTCATGATTTTCCACCAGTAAACAGGGTTTGGCGCACGGTGAGAGACCGTTCTGTCTCATTATTGTTATGATAGTTGGCCAGACAGCCATATGTTCACCCACAGACAGAGCCAGCAGAGAGTGGACAAACTGCTGCTGGCACCACCCGGTGCACAGACGGAATCAGAAAGTGACAATCAAGGTCACAAACACCTTCATCTCTTCAGACAAACACTAATCTGTGGAATAATTACTCTGTCTTTTACTTATTTAATTTATTCAAACTACTGCAAAGGTTCTTGTTTTGGCATCTGAAATCTTAGAATCTTGCACTCATTATTTGAAACTAAATGTGTTTTTAAATAAACTGTGATTTGGGGAAGAGACAGCATCACTTTAGGTCCTGTGGTGTTTTAATTGCTATCATTCTACAGATAAAACAACTCATAAATGTTTTGTTTATCTTTTAAAGGCTATTAAACTCATTTCGAGAGCTCAAAAACAAACACGGTGTGTTATTTTGTACCATCTATTATGTCTGGGTCCTTCATCTTTCCCTCTGAGGTCAGGGTTAACAAGATCCTACATCACATTAAAACACATGGCGCCAGAGATCAGATCACTCTCCTGTCCAGGAGATCTTGTGGATTAGACATGCAAAACAACAACAAGCTGTACATCATTAACACAAAGTAAAGTCAGCAGAAAAGTCTGTTCTAATTAATGAACATGACTCAGCATGTTTATCTTTAGCTCAGTAAAGGTGGCAGGGCATAAGGAGAAAATGCATGAATGTAACATGCAAACTTTTGTGCAAAGTAGGTTAAATGTATTCTATTTTTCCAGCAGGGGCAGAGCTAGACATTTTAGCATGGGGGGGCACGGGGGTGGTCAAGGCGGGACACAAAGAAAACTTTGATTTTAAAATTTAAGATGGTCACCACAGCTAAATTTAAATGACCATAATTCAGCTATTTTAAAACTAAATGAGCTGAAATATGTTGTGGTGTAGCCAAGAATGATTGCTAGTCCCAATTTAAGCTTACCGCTAATGCTTATTTTACAAAGGGATATAATTCAGCYATTAAATGCACAGCTGAAAATTTATGTAGTAGCCAATGTAAATACAAAATCCAAGATGGCCACCAAATTTCAATTAGTTGGGTCTCGGCCATTTTTTAATTTTATGTTAATTCAACCAAATTTATATTTATATTTTTTATATTAATTCAGTGGTTTAAAAAAGTTATTTTTTTCTTCACGTTTTATCTACACTAGATAATACAGCTAGGATGTATTTACATTGTTTAAGCTCTAACTCACCATCTTTTACTGCCAAATGTAATCCCCACCCCCACTTATCAGTCATTTGGGGGTGGCACCTGAGGTGGCCAATCCGGTGCCAGGTGTGACACTTGCCACCCTGGCCACACCTCTGGCTCCGCCCCTGATTTCCAGTGCATTCAAAATTCTAAATCAGGACCATTAAACTCAGTTGCTCAGTGGACCATAGTCACTAAAAGCCAATAGCTCAGGGACCGGATATCATGCAAATAAATAAATACAGTCTTCTTTATTTTTTATGTTTGGAAATTTAATTTAAAACAAAATAGATTGTAAATGTATTGTAATAATTAAATTAATTTTTTTTATATTTAATGAAATGAAGTCATTGGCAGTCAAACAGAGTGGTACAGTCCTGTCATTGATCATCTATAACATTCTGTTGTGTCAACACTAACCTGCAGCCGCAGTTGAATTAAATATTGTTATTATTTAAATATTTTGCTGTTGGAACAAACTGATATTTTACTCACAGAGCAGTTCTGGGAAGTATAGATCAGTTCAAGATGAATATCTGTGCGTCACTGTGAGTGCCTCAGGAAAGAACCTGCACAGACACTGTCGTGTTCTAACACAGGACGTTAATGAACACCAGTTTCTCATCAGAATAAATAAATAAATAAATAATAGCTGTTGGTATACGTAGTTACAGAAGACTCAACGTATCACTTTTTGTTAACATAACTGAAACCATTTCCTGAGATCCTAATTAAATTTCTGTYACATTTCTGTGACATCCAGCAAAATGCTATTAAAATCCTATTTAATAGTTTATCTTTAGAGCACTTTCTTCACATTCAGTCCAAGACTGTTTCTCTCTTCCTGGACCAAGCGCTCCTACAAATGTAGGGATTCTGCAAATGTGAAAAMAAACAAAGCATAAATTTGATCATTTAGATTTTTTTTTGTCTGCAGTTTGTTTATAGATAGTTGGAAATGATCCATGTTTTAYAAGACTCGTGAATCGTGTTCAGCAGGAGCAGGTTATCACTGAATAACGACCMGCGAGGATAGTTATTATGTTAACCCAAGTATTGCTTTGTTCTTCACATATAGGCTTCAGTGTTCAGATTCTAGAACGGTGATGTGAGTTGTGCTTACATGGACTAATTTGAAAAACATCACTAATTATTTTCACTTTTTTTCTTTTTGTTTAAAAAAGTGCTTTAACTCATTAAAGGTGCATGACAGAAAAAGAAAATTAGAAAGTCTGTTCTCTGGGACAGAAAATAAAAATAAAACACTGTCACAAAGCTTGAGGGTGTAAAACAAAACAGTCATTTAACAAAACAAAGTGCTGACATGCAGCAAAATCTACTTCTAAGATAATTTAAAGACAATCAAGAGGATCACGAGGAGCACAAGAAACACAAAGAGAACTGGAATCGGAAGCACAAAAACCAACAATGCCTCATGTTAGATGTTTATCTTTTTTTATCAAAAGTAGAGTTCGAGCTGAGCTTCAGGGTTCAGCACATAAACACATGCTGGATGTCACACAGCTATAACCACAATCAGCTGCGCACATGTCTGAAGAAATAAAAAAGAGAGGTCAGTGGTCTGAAGAGGCATGAAATATTCATGACAACATGACTGACACTAAAAGGGGCCTGTTATTGGCTGCTATGAGCCAGTGCCCCTCTGTGGACTCACCAGGCCATTGCAGTAATGTCCCCCAACAACAACCAGGTCGGCTTCTTTATCAGTTTTTATCAAGTCAGCTCATTGGTCCATTTTCCTTTTTTCTTTACAGGAAGTTTTGGATCTTCTGGTTTTAATTGTGTAAAAGCATTTTTATCACAAATAATCTTTTATAAAGGCTGCCAACAATACAGAAGACCTGGATGCAGGCTTGTCTTTGTAATCCTTTTCACCTGCGTGTTAATCTTAAAACAGTGAAAGTAATTTATTTATTTATTTTGTTTTTTCAGTCTGGTCGTCTGGACTCTCATTACCCGAAGGTGTGCGGTCACCAAGGCAATGTGCTGGATATCAAGTGGAATCCCTTCTTTGAAAACATTGTTGCATCCTGCTCTGAGGACACTTCGGTCAGTCAGCCAGAACTGATTAATTTTTTATGAAAATCTGCAAAAAAAGAAAAAAATATACATGCTGATAACTCACTGTGTTGAGCTTTTTTGCTGACAGCAGCTCTGGTTTCTGTTTTTATCATTCATTGCCTGTAAAATGGTGAAAAAACAACCTTAAAATGCCTTCAAGAAAACATGATTTTACAACACAGAAACAGAAAAATCCCAGTCAGATTCTCTCTGATTACATGACCTATAAAACTAAATCCTTTGAGTTTTTTTTTCTAGTACATCCTCCTGTTATGTCACTCAGCTCAGTACAGCCACATTTGCTCTGTAGTATTTTCACTTGTTGATGGATGATATCATCTGGTCCAACACAGAGCCTCTAGCACTCGTGGTAATCCGGTCTAATCCTGATGCACTTGGCTACATTGATACTTTGTGCTATTTTTGACCAAATAAATCTGATTACATCATGCTGGTTTTAGTTTGTTGTGAGTTTACCGTAAAAAAAAGTTTAAAAAATGTCAATGATAGAAACACTCTGAGGGGCAAGAAGAAGTCTGACGGTGTGTTTGTGTTATCTTTGTGTTTCTTTGTGGATGTGCCAGGTTCGAATATGGGAGATCCCAGAGGGTGGTCTGCGGCGCAACATGACGGAGGCYGTGCTGGAGCTGTACGGTCACAGCAGGCGGGTGGGTCTGATCGAGTGGCACCCCACCACCAGCGGCATCCTGTTCAGTGCAGGCTATGATTATAAGGTACTGCAGCATACCCCCCAAAATAACTCTGGAACCATTTAAACAGTGCACTCCAWGTCAGATTTACACAGAAAATTACACATTTGMTTAAAGCCATTTACTGTAGAAGCTGGACCTAAAGCAAGGCTTCCTGTGTTAGATTCTGATCTGGAACTTGGAGATTGGCGAGCCGGTGAAGATGATTGACTGCCACACTGACGTCATCCTGAGTATGTCCTTTAATACAGACGGCAGCCTGCTGGCCACCAGCTGCAAGGACAAAAYGCTGCGAGTCATTGAGCCTCGCTCTGGAAGAGTACTTCAGGTGAGACCTTTACCAAACAAAAACAATAGAACAGGTTTTTTTTACAATGTGAAACAGCGAAATGTGCCACAAAATAAATTGTTCATATCAGTTGATATCGATAAATACTTATTAGTTTTTTGTTGTACCAATTTAAAATTAGAAACAGGAGAAGAAAAGTCTGATTATCACTGCCAAACTGGTGACATGACTTTTCCTCTTTTATCCACAATTTCCTCTCGGGCTGTTGCCTCATTTTCTCCTTTCACTCCATGTTGTTCTTTATTTTGAAGCAGTTCTGAGGCACGGTGGTGAAACATGAAACTGCTACTGTGCATGTTACTCAACAGATTGTTGCTAGCTTACTAAAGAGTGAGTTAGCTGATGCCACCAACCTGGGTCGTGAGAGGTCGAGCAGCAAAAGCCTTTCCTCAGCCTACATCCCCCAGAATGCTGTGCGGTTCTATTGTTACTGATCACACGTCTATCGCAACATACGTTGTTATTCATTTATTGCCCAGCCCTTCCTGCTAATCACCATAAATACAGACACAAAACTGTATTTATTTTAAAGGAATGCTCCCTGCGGGTTAGTGGTGAGTTCAGATAATTGAGTTTAGTTCATAAGTGATGGTAGGATGGATCTACAAATAAASTACCATATAAAACATCTGATTAATCTATACTGCATGTGCTTCTCTCCTGCCTTGCTAAGAGGTGATCAAATCAAGCCAGCAGGTGCACAAAAAATATATATTTTAAGATGCTCAGATATTTTAGGTGACACATATTTCTGTTTTTGTGATGCTATTTACAACACAATGCAATTAGTAGATACAATAATTTTAACAATCCAGTTCAAGCTCAGGCTCATTTCGTTGTTGCAACACAACCAATAGGGGCCTCAGCCATCACTCAGACTGAAGCTTCACTCCATCATTGTGTCTCCCTCACCAGCATGCTAGTTACAAAAACCACCGTGTAAACCGAGTGGTTTTCCTGGGCAACATGAAGCGACTGATCACCACGGGGGTTTCCCGCTGGAACACTCGGCAGATTGCTTTCTGGGATCAGGTCGGGCAACACGTCCATATGGCTCATGCTCATTATGCCTCAACGAGTGGAGGAAGTGCGTGTGTTTGACTCTCTGTATGTGCTGCTCCTCCTGCAGGAGGACCTGTCCATGCCTATTGTGGAGGAGGACATAGACGGCCTCTCAGGACTGTTGTTTCCTTTCTATGATGCTGACACACACATGCTGTACCTGGCAGGCAAGGTCTGAACCAACCACACAAACACATTCATACATTTTATTTTTATACTAAATATAAAATGCAAAAAAAAGTTAAGTCATAAAAGAAGAGCAGAGACAAAAGAACACACTAAGATTTATGCTATCTTTTGCAGAAAACAAGTGCAGAGATTTTAGACAAAGGAGTATTAACTTTCTTTCCTAACGGGAGTACGCAAAAAAATAGTAAAAATTAAATTTTAAAAAATTGCTATATATATTCAATACAAAATGCCTGTGTATTCCTAAACATTAAACAATCAAATGTGTTTTATTCTGATTAGCTAATATGGCTGATACAAAATCAAAAGGAAAATAATTGAGTTACTACACCAAAATACACATATTGAACTAAATAGATAAAATAATGCAGGCCCATATACAGCATATAATAAAAAATGCCAAACAAATGGCAATTTTCTAATTGCAATTTGACCAACACACACACACACACACACACACACACACACACACAC